TAATAAAATGTGTATTGTGTAATATAATATATATTTCGGTACGATATCGGTATTTCGATATTTCATTTTAAAATATTAAATACCATACCTAATACCAAAAAAACTTTAAAACTTAAACCAAATACCATACCGAATACTAAAATATCGAATACCAAATACCAAAATTTTCGATTTCGGTACGGTAATTCGGTATTTACCAAATTATGCACAACTCTACCCTGAATTATGTAAAAACATTAACTCCATATTAAATTAAGAATTAAAAATTAAACTTCAGATATTGATATTTCAAACTTTTACAATAAAAGTTACTACTTAAAAATTAGAAACTATATAAAATGTTATTATAACTTATTTCCTCCATCTCAGAAAAATAGGAATTTCAAGAGTACGATGATCAATATATCTAATATTTAAAATAAGTTTGAATATTATTATATAAATGTTTAATACTTAATGTACATATCAGAATTGAAGTAAAATGTACATATCAGAATTGAAGTAAAATATTTTTAACTTTATAAAATTTGTCGAACAAAAAATTATTGGACACCTCAAACAGTTTAGTGATATCCTTTTGGACTCAAACAATAGTGATGTCATAAAAAAAGGAACATGTGAAATATCATTATTATGATTTCAAAATCCATGTCACTCGCTTTTTTTGGATGTATTTTTATTTGGTACAATCAATTCAACATCATAACTTTCAAGCATTATAAATTATAATTATTAAAATATTCAAGTTTTTAAAATCTTTGATGAGGTTATTTTTCTCAAACTAGATTTCCATCATATTGATACTTTATTTTTACCATTATTATTATTATTATATTTAAATAAAATAAAAAATCTTCGATATATAATGAGGTGAAATGAGTATTTACATTTTTATTTTTATTTTTGAGAAAAAAAAAAGAGAGCATTTTATTATTATACATTCCGCAAAGGGCTAAATATACATATGTACTATGAAAAAAGGTTTAAATATACCCTTCGTTATACTTTGGATTCAAATATACCCTTGCCGTAATACTATTAGTTTAAATATACCCCTCTTATGTTAAGTTTGTCCAAGGTAGACTTCCAATCCTACGTGGCATCGATATTTGATGAGGTGGATGCTACATGACATGCCACATCATCGCCCCTAATCCATATATAAAAGACTAAAATTTAAAATACAATAGTTTTCATGGTAGCGGTAATGATGGCAATAGTGGTGGAGGGACAGAAATTTTAGTGGTGGAAAGAAAATAGAAGGGAGGGATAAAATGGGTTAGGGGCGTTGAGGTGGCATACCATATGGCATCCACCTCATTAAATATCAGTGCCACATTGGATTGGATATCCACATTGGACAGACTTAACAAAATAAGAGTATATTTGAACCAGTAGTATTACGGCAAAGGTGTATTTGAATCCAAAATATAATAAAAAGTACATTTAAATCTTTTATTATAATATATGGGTATATTTGACCATTTGTCGTTATACATTAGGTGCAATTTTCGTTTAATTGGGCAACAACCAAGTAAATGGCCTGGTCGGCCCACTTGACTGGAGGTCTCAAAAGTCCAAGTTCAATAGCTTTATCATTCAATATTTGACGTTGCCCACGAAACCTAGGCCTGCAGATTGCAATAGGCTCTATTATACCCACAAGTTTTAAAAATTAACACAAATACACAACAGTATTATTATTAATAATATTAATTATATTATCGCAAATCATAGTCTTGAATATAAATAAATTTGATACAAAATTATCATTTTTATAATGAACTACATGATACACTATCATATGACCGAAAAGACGAAGCAACATTGTTATAAAATAATAAATGGTGGGCTCTTTTATAAAATACAAAAGTTTGGGACAATTTTTAAAAAATATAATAGTGATATTTTGGCCCAAAACCAGCTATTTGGGATTTGGAATTTTGCCAAAATGTAGGCAAAATCTATGGCCAAACATGTGTTTGTCAAATAAAACCCAAATTTATTTTGGCAAAATCTATGGTCCAACTGGTCCTCTATGTCTTTCCATTGTTTGCTCATTTTGCTTCTGGACCACATTAGATACAGAGTTTTTAATTGGAAAAATTTTGTAGTATAGTAACTCCAAAAAATAATAGCCGATAAAATATATTTATTTTATATATTAATACTCCCTTTGTTTAAGTTTGTTTGAACCTTTTTAGAGTACATTTGTCAAATTGATTAATTTTAGGTGTGGATTCGGACATTGATTCTTTAATTTATAAAATTTACATATTTAAAAACTAGATAAAAATAATTCTATAAGTTAGAATAGTTAACAGTTCGAAAACTGTGTTTGACCCTCCAAAAAGTGAAAAGTTCATTTTTTTTTTTTAAATTGAGGGAGTATATAATGTATATATTTTATACATAAACAATGATATTTTTAGTATATTTGGCTAGCAAATATAATTATTTTTGTCGATCGGCCAAACGTGTAACTTTCCCATTCTTAAGTACTGCTATAAGATAAAATTGTGATGGATACATCAATAAATGGATTCAAGTGTCCCAGCCAGAGAGGATATAGCAGGGGTAATGGAAAAGTAAACTCTAACTTTACAAGAACGTAATTAACACAAATAAAACGCATCAAAATAATATGTAAAGACTTAAATGAATAAGTAGGGAAGTAAAGATAGATGCAAAAAGTGCAGCCAAATATTGTAAATCCAGCAGTCCAACCAACCATCCAAAAAAGTTGAACACATTGAGATATGTAATCCAATTCCTTGTTGCACTTGATCTTGCCATTATATAAACTTGCAGTAGTAGTAGTAGTAGTAACTGTATAATTCCAACCCTGCTCACATGTCAAACACCTCTCCAGTCTCTCTTTGATCTTCACTTCTTCTATTCTTCCCCTTAAAACTTGTAGATTCGCATCAACAACATGCCTTGATTTTCCTGCAGTAATATCATTTCTCTATTTCAAAATGTATTGATATATTAAAAATAGCAGAATGGCATGTACAAAGAAAAAACTAAGGACAAATTAAACAAAACATATACCTTCATCTTCATAGCCCTGAGCTCTAACTTGGAGTAATTTCTGATGGCTCCTATACTTGCTAGATGACATGATAATTGCTGGAAAATTAACAACTGCAGAAGCCATTTTTGCCTACGTGAATTGCTTAGGAATTTTTTTTTATTAACCAGATTGAAGTCGTGAAACAGTTTACGCGTCGTCGTTGAAATTGTTGAACTGAAGAATAACAAATGAGAAATGCCAGATAAAACATTTGAAGCCGTATATAGTGAAGTTTTCAATTGTGTAATTATTTGAAACGTTTGTGTCACATGTCAGATGTATATAATTGTATCATTTTGTTAACACGCAATTTTCTTCTTCTGTTTTATCCTGGGAATGCAATATAATGTTGTTTTGGGCTTTCCTAGCCAGACAACATAATAATCATCTATACGATTTGGAAATAAAACGTGACAAAAAAAATTGTTAGGTGCAGGGAAATTGAACCTGAATTTGATTAATTAAATCATTCTTGAAAATGAAGGCTTCACCTTTAGGAGTTTCTTCTGGTTCTGCAACATTTTAAATAAGTGTTTATCAATTCATTGAACATGGCATGTTTTGTGTCCAATTAACCTTAATTGATTTTTCATATATATGGCTACTTAAGTTTGTTGGTTGAATGGAGACAACCGGCTATATATGTTAACGTACAATTTTGGAATTACGTAGCTATCTTCCTAATCATGGAAATAGCATGATTATCAAAGACAAAATAAAGATGATCGAAAGACACACATGCCTATTTTTAGGTGCGTTTCACAAATCATAAATTTGTCATTTATGTGAGGATCAAGTTAATTTTGGGGTCAATTAAAAGGGCAGCTCTAGTAATGTTAGAACTGGTCAAATAGCTTATCGTAGCCTATATTCTAAGTACGCGTTTTTCCTCGACTCAAGCTATATTTCCCATGCATAAAAATGTCTTGTTATGTGGAACATCTTTCGTCTTTGGGTTGCATCCCTGATCCCCATAAACAAATTTGAAGTTTTCTATTTTAGCAATATTCTCAACAAGGAAAGGATATCCTAGTGCATAAAGCATCGTGCATTTGTGCAGCGTTCGGGGAAAGGCCGCACTCTAAAAGTGTGATATAGACGATGTATCATTTAGTTTTACCCTATGATTACCGGACGTTTTAACGTAATATTTATAATTCAATTACGCCAATACAATCAAAATCTAACTTGCATGAAATTCAGCCACCGAAGTTACTGTTAATTTCCAGGGAACGCGTCTTTTAATAAGAAAAATCAAGTTTCATGCATCTTACTCATAATTAGTTCCCCCGTTATAACTCTTTTTACTTTAGCCTCACTGCAAATTCCAATTGTATATAATATGTCCTCCCTCATTTAATTCACATACCAGTTACAAACAGCAAAGTCATAATTGTTAAACTAGAGAGCTGGAAATTCTTAGAATTTGTTCACACTGATAGGAAAGCAACAACAACAACATACCTCAACATTATCCTATACCGTAGGGTCTAGGGAGAGTAGTGTGTACGCAGACCTTACCCCTATCTTGTGAGGGTAGAGAGACTATTTTCAATAGACCCTCGACTCAGGAAAGTATAGAACCATATTAATGAAAAAATACACAAGAATGGACAATACCAAAAAGTCATATAAAAGCATAATAGAAACAACAAGACAGTAAGGTAGTCAACAATAAAAGAAAACAACGGCTAGTCATAAAAATCCACTACCAATAGAAAGCGAGACCGCATGCCAATACTACTATTATAAACACTCTAGACTACCTACTCTACTACCCTAGTCCTCGACCTCCATACCTTCCTATCAAGGGTCATGTCCTCGGTCAGCTGAAGTTGCGTCATGTTTTGCCTAATCACCTCTGTCCACCTCTTCTTTGGCCTATCTCTACCTCTCCGTAGGCCCTCCAATGTCAACCTATCATACCTCATCACCGGGGCGTCTGTGCTCCTCCTCTTCACATGACCAAACCACCTAAGCCGCGCTTCCCGCATCTTGTCCTCAATAGGGGCCACACTCACCTTGTCGCGAATAACCGCATTTCTGATCCTATCTAACCTGGTATGCCCGCACATCCATTTCAACATCCTCATCTCTGCTACCTTCATCTTTTGAACATGCGCGATCTTGACTGGCCAGCACTCAGCCCCATACAATATCGTAGGTCTGACCACCACTCATTAGAACTTACCCTTAAGTTTCGGTGGCACATTCTTGTCACACAAAATACCGGAACCGAGTCTCTATTTTATCCATCCAGCCCCAATACGATGTGTGATATCTTCATCAATCTCCCCATCCCCCTGAATAATAGACCCAAGGTACTTAAAACTCCCTCTCCTAGGGATGACCTGCGATTTCAGCCACACCTCCCCCTCCCCTCCTTGAGTCTCGCCATTGAACTTACACTCTAAGTATTCTGTCTTGGTCCTGCTCAACTTGAAACCTTTAGATTCCAAGGTCTGCCTCCATACCTCTAACTGCGCATTCACATTGTCTCGCGTCTTGTCAATCAATACAATATCATCTGCAAATAGCATGCACCATGACATCTCCCCTTGGATGTGGCGCGTCAGTACGTCCATCACCAGAGCAAATAAAAAAGGGCGGAGTGCCGACCCCTGATGCAACCCCATCATAACCGAAAAATAGTCCGAGTCCCCATCCACCGTCCTCACTCGGGTCTTTACCCCATTATACATGTCCTTAATCAACCTAACGTAGGCAACAAGTACACCTCTAGCCTCCAAACATCTCCACAAAACCTCCCTCGGAACTTTATCGTACGCCTTTTCTAAGTCGATGAACACCATATGCAAGTCCTTCTTTCTCTCCCTATACTGCTCCATCAATCTCCTAACAAGGTGGATGGATTCTGTAGTCGAACGCCCCAGCATAAACTCAAACTGGTTCTCGAAAATACACACACTCCTCCTCACCCTTAGCTCTACCACTCTCTCCCAAACTTTCATAGTATGGCTAAGCAGTTTTATACCCCGATAGTTATTGCAATTTTGGATATCACCCTTGTTCTTGTATACAGGAATCATTGTGCTCCACCTCCACTTTTCGGGCATCTTTTTTATTCTAAAAATAATATTAAGTAACCTAGTGAGCCACTCTAAGCTTGTCTTGCCCGTACTCTTCCAATACTCCACCGGGATTTCATCCGGCCGGGTCGCTTTGCCCCTGTTCATCGTACGCATAGCCCCCTCAACTTCATCCACTCTAATCCACCTACAATACCCAAAGTCACAACAACTCTCAGAGAGTTTCAAATCACCCAGTACAATGCTCATGTCCACCTCCTCGTTCAAGAGACTATGGAAGTAGGTTTGTCATCTCTGACGTATAAGCTCCCCATCCAACAAAACTCTACCTTCTTCGTCCTTGATGCACTTCACTTGGTCCAAGTCACGCGTCTTTCTTTCTCGCGCCTTGGCTAACTTGAACAACCTCTTATCCCCACCTCGGCCCTCGAGTTCCTCACACAAACGACTAAAAGTTATAGTTTTGGCCGCCGTAACTGCTAGCTTTGCCTCTTTCTTAGCCAGCTTATAAAGCTCCCTATTCGCCCTCTTCTCCTCCTCGTCTACCCTTTCCACTAGTTTCAGATACGCCGCTTTCTTGATTTTTACTTTTTCTTGCACCTCTACATTCCACCACCAATCTCATTTGTGACCACCAGAGTAACCCTTTGAGACCCCTAATACCTCTCTCGCGACTTTCCTAATGCACTGCGCAGTCGTGGTCTACATAGCGCTTGCGTCCCCACTACTCCTCCATGCCCCCATATTCACCAGCTTGACCCCGTCCTCCTGCCCTTTATCTTCCGTCAAGGCTCCCCATTTTATCCTATATTGGCTATACATCGCCCTCTTCCTCCTCCTCTTCGTGATCTCAAGGTCCATGACCAGGAGCCTATGAAGGGTCGAGAGGTTCTCACTCGGGATGACCTTGCAATCCGTGCAAAGACCTCTATCGGATTTTCTGCAGAGTAAATAATTAATCTAAGTCTCGGCCACCGAACTCCAGAATGTGACCAAGTGCTCTCTCTTATTTGGGAAAGTCGAGTTTGCTATCACCAAATCAAATGCTCTAGCAAAGTCCAGCAGAGACGTTCCTCCTCCGTTTCTATCTTCAAAACCAAAGCAACCATGCACATCATCATACCCCCGACGTCGCTCCAATATGGCCGTTGAAATCTCCTCCTATGAAAAGCTTCTCGGTATGCGGGATACCACGCATCATCTCATCCAAATCTTCCCAGAAACGCCTATTGACTTCCTCATCCAAGCCTGCTTGTGGTGCGTACGCACTGATTATGTTCAAATTAAAACCTCCAACAACTAGCTTAATAATCATTAGACTGTCATTCACCCTCCTAACCTCCACCACTAGTTCACGGAGGTCCTTATCAACTAAGATACCTACCCCGTTCCTAACCCCAGCCTCCCAGAATACCAAAGTTTGAAACTGCCTACATCCCGCGCCTTATCTCCTACCCACCTAGTCTCTTGTACACAAGCTATATTAATCTTCCTTTTCTCGAGAATCTTCGCTAACTCTACAGATTTTCCAGTCAAAGTTCCTATGTTCCAAGACCCCACTCTCAGCCTAGTAGCTCCCTTAGCCCTCTT